CAGCTAATCAGTTGTTGTATTCGAGTGTATTCGACTGTATTCATGGAGTGAAACATGGGATTACAGCTGGACAGATTATTGTATTCGACTGTATTCACGGCGTGAAATAGTGAATCAATTAACATATTAGACTCCCAATATAACTCAACAAACTCAATTATAACACACAAAATTTGAGTTTTCAGTTATAAAAAAGATTCTCAACCAAATAATACCCCAAAAACATAGCAATCTTCAGAGAAATTATGTAATACATGTGAATACATAAATTTTATTAATTAAAAAGAACTTATGAATACATTCATGGCATATAGCGAGACAGTGAATACGATGAAATACATAGAATACAACGGGATACATTGAAATACAATGAAAAAAAGAAAGAGAATACAATAAAATACATGGAATACAGCGAGATACATTGAATTACAATGGAAAAAAAGACAATGAATACAATGGAAATCATGAAAATACAGCGTAATACGTTGAAATTACATTGAAATATATTAAAAGAAATGTTCTTCTTCATCGCGAAAGAAAGAAATCGTCACTCAGTGGATCTCCGAAACCGAATCCTCTTTCCACGACCGCCGCCATCTCCTCGTTGGACTTGACGTCGAGTGGCGGCCCAGTTTCCACCGCAACCAGCAATTCAAAGTTGCAACTCTCCAGCTCTGCGTCGAGCGTCGTTGGCTCATATTCCAACTGTGACGACCCAAAGAGTCATCACCTGTTTCCTCATTCATTCCGCGCTTCTGAGGCCTTAAAAACCTCATTTTTTACTTGCCTCGATTTGCGTGCTCAGTCCGGGCGCGTAGCCGGAAAGATTATATGTTAAATTCTGTGAAAAATTTCAAAATGTGGCTTTAAAATGATTAAAGTTGACCTTGGTCAACATTTTGGTAAACGGACCCGGACCCGTGATTTGATGGTCCCGGAGGGTCCATAGAAAAATATGGGACTCGGGCATATGCCCGGAGTCGAAATCCGAGGTCTAGAGCCCGAGAAAAGAATTTGTCTGTGAAATTATTTTTCTGCAATTATTAAGGAAAATGGAAATGAAAATTTATTAAAAGACTATGGTATCGGGCTCGTATTTTGGTTCCGACGCCCGGTACAAGTCTTAAATATGTGTTAAGCGCTTTCTCTAAAGTTTGGTCGAAAGCGGATGTCATTTGGCATGTTTCGGACCTAAATATCTAAAGTTTGAAGTTTGTGAAGTTAGAATGAAAAATGATGATTTTGAGGTTTGATTCATTGATTTTGATGTTGTTTTGACGATTTGATCGCTCGAGTAAGTTCGTAGGATGTTGTTAAGTTAGTGTGTGTGATTGGTTGGGAGCCCCGAGGGCTCGGGAGTGTTTCGGAGGTGTCCCGGGATGTTTTACACTTAGGAATTGTAGCAGATTTCTCTGCAATTTTTTCCCAGCTGTTGCCTTCTTCGCGATCGCGGACTCGACCCCGCGTTCGCATAGCTTTGGGCTCTCCCTTCTTCGCGTTCGCGGAAAGGCCCCTGCGTTCGCGTACTTACAGCCCTTCCTCAACCGCGTTCGCGTCCCCTTTTTACGCGTTCGCGTAAGGCAATCCCAGGGCCCCCACCAGCTTTCTCTTCGCGTTCGCATCACACCCACCGCGAACGTGATGCCCCCAGTTTCTCTTCACCGCGAACGCGTCCTCTTAGTCGCGATCGCGTAGGGTAAAAACGCCCAGTTATATTTTAAATTTCTAGAATCAGAACACACGGGATTTCTTCACTTTCCTCACGAGCTCTCTTCTTCCCCAAGCTTTAGGAAGCCATTAAAGCCCCCACTCTTCAAGACCACTTGAGTAAGTAATTCCCCACTCATTTCCTTCACTTTTTCTTCATTAATTAGCAAGTTTCTAAGCCTAAATCATGAAATCAAAGTAGAAATTAGGGGTTTTGGTTAGAGTTAGGGTTTTGAGAATTTTGGGTGATTCAACCTCAATTTGGGGTCGAATCTTAAAACAAATTATATATTTGGACTCGTGGGATTATGGGAGACTAGGTTTTGGTCCGAGCCTCGTGTTTGGACCATGTGGGCCCGGTGTCAAATTTTGGCATTTTTGGAAGAATGCTAGGAAATTCATATCTAGGCTATGGGATGTTGCCATTGAGTCTTTATTGATATTATTGAATTAATTATGCCTAGATATCATTGTTTCGGAGTCGGATTGTAGAGGAAAGGCGGTATTTGGGGATTGATTGCTATTCTTTGGACCGAGGTAAGTGTTTGATCTAACTTTGGCTTGAAGGAATAGGATTAGAGTGTTATTATTTGCTAATTGCTAAATGATCGAGTACGGTGTATAGGCATGGTGACGAGTATCTATACACCGGTGTCTAGCATGACCGTGGGTCCTTGTATGTACTTATCCTGATATTGTTATGACTCTTCCATGTTAATTGATGAATTCTATGCAATGTGAAAAGTATGAGAACTAATTATGAATTGTAAATTCTTTGGAGCGTTGGCTCGAACGATAAAAAGACTATTGAGTAAGAAATGAAAGAAATAAGAAGTGATATGATTAATCCCTTGCCGGGATAGTTTGAGTATATTGATTATCTCCCTTGCCGGGATGTGAAAGTATTGTCGTTGCTCCCTTGCCAGGATTTAGCTGTTAATTGAGTAATTCCCTTGCCGGGACATTTTTTATTATTTGTTTATCCCCTCGCCCCGTTTGGTTGTGATTACTGTTTGGGTGAGGAAGGGTGATAATGCACGAAGGGTCATTCCGTGCCATGTTTTGATTATATTTGCACGAAGGGTCATTCCGTGCCATGTTTTGATTATATTTGCACGAAGGGTCATTCTGTGTCATGTTTTGATTATTTATGCACGAAGGGACATTCCATGCTCTGATTTGATTATAATTGCATGAAGGATCATTCCGTGCCATGATATGAGAGTTATGTGAGGGAAAGCACGAAGGGTGATGCCGTGCACTTTATTTGATTGCTTTTGGTGAGAATGAGAGTAAAAGCACGA